TTTTTTTGACCCTTGTCATATGATAAAATTAATAAGAAATACGTTAGGACATTATTTAAAATTGCAGAATAACGGAAAAGAAATATTGTTCGTCGACATAAAACGTCTGCAGGAATTGCAGGATGAAGAAGGTTTGAAAGCTGGCACAAAGCTAACTAAAAAACATATTTATTTTCATAATAACAAAATGAATGTTAAGTTAGCGGCTCAAACACTTAGCGAAAGCGTTAGCTCTGCTCTAAAATTTGTTGACAAGTGTGTTCCTGGGTATTTACAGTCACCCCAAGAAACTGCTAAATTCTGCTCTATCTTCAATAATGCTTTTGATATTCTCAATGTTAGATCAAAATTTCCAAAACCGAAAAAATGTAATATGCCTCTTTCTGATAGTACCTTCGCTGAATTGAAACAATATGCTGAGGATATAAATGAATATATTAAAAGTATTGAAGATTGTAAGCACCGATCTATTTTAAAAAGCAATAGAAAAACTGGTTTCATAGGTTTGATCGTATGCTTACAAAATATTTTTGAATTATTTCTAGTTTTAAAGGAAAAAGGATTAGAATATTTATTGACTTATAAACTTAATCAGGACCATTTGGAAACATTTTTTAGTGCGATAAGAAGTCGTGGTGGATTTAACAATAATCCATCGGCCAAACACTTTGAATCCAGCTACAAAAGATTATTAATACGACATGAGATAAAAGCTGCTGAAACAGGAAACTGTATGATTAATGATATTCAGATTTTGTTTGTGTCATCGGCAAACAAGGAAGACACACTTTTCTCAGAGGAGGAGAATATGCAAATAACGTCACCGGTTGATGTATTATTTGATCACGACTACTTATCCACATTGTGGAATGTTAGTCCGTATATTGACGAAGTAATAACATATATCAGCGGATTTATAGTTAAGAAGCTATTGAAAAATAGAAGTGTGTGCGAAACATGTGCATCATTTTTAACAACCAGTAGACAAAATTTGTCGAAATGTATATTGATTGATATGAAAACACGAGGATTATTGATATATCCTTCGCCTGATGTTATTGTAATAGCTAGAACAACTGAGAGAATTATACGCGCAAATGACAATATTCTTTTCACGTATAAAAATATTAAAGAATTTTTAATAATGAAAACGTTTCAGGCAGTTAGTATTAATCATGTAGTATTTAACGACAATATCATGATAGAACATGTTAAGAATCAAGGAATTATTGATAATCACAAGACTCAGTTGATCAAAGCGATTATTAAAACATATGTAGTTCTTCGTTTATTCCATGAAGGAAAACGCGCAACAGATACCGTAAAAAACGAATATATTTGACAAAAATATTCAAAATTAATTTTATTTAAAAATCAATAAAATTCTAAGAAACTGTAATAACACGGGGAAGTTTCTAAAAGTGTCTAAAAATTCGACCAAACTGGCATAAAAGATGTATATGTATGTATAAACTGAACCATTGCACCGATTAAAGTGAAATTCAATACCAACCCTCTCCTAATGACACTAAATAAATGTGCCAAAGTAGAAGGCGATATCTCAAAAATTGCGGAGGAGAGAGCGCGAACAATTATTGTGCACATACACATACACACACATTTTTGAAAAAAGTGTGTTTTTTGGTGGATATCTCGAAAATTGGGATGGTGGGAGCGATAACAATTATTGCGCACGCACACACACACACACACACATTTTTTAAATTAGTGTGTTTTTTTGAGTTTTTAGATTATACTAAACCCATTGGCATTGAAAATTGGAAAAAAATTTTTCGCATGAAAACAAAGCTTCCTCTATGAGGAAGCAAAATGTAATAAATCAATAATTACACTGATTTCGACCCGGTCAAGATGAGCTAACTCCTTAAGGGAATGCTGGAGTGATTCTACACTTTTTGCACTTAAAACTAAAGTACTAAAGTTTCTAAAGTACTTGATCGTGCAAAGACTGGATACAAAGAACATACGTGAAAAAAATAAAACGTATTACTGTCTGTACGCGAGAACCTTGGTGAACCGCGGATAACTGAAACCGTGAATAGAAACCGTGGCTATGGAGATCCTACTGTATAGATTTATTTATATATTGTTTTACCAGTTTAAAATATACATATTTTGTACATATATACAGAATGTTCCATTCCTGAATTATTGAAAATGAAAAATTTATTACTACAAACTTAAAACTGAAAAAATTGGTACAAGTATAGCATCATTAAAGAGGTAGGATATTAGAGTGTAAAGTTCAGTAGTAAGAGAGTGTTACAGACGTATAATTTTAACTATAAATTATTTAAATTAAATTTTTAAAAGAAACTCCTGAGAAATTTCTCGGAACATTCCTTATCGATCGTTTATCAGATTACAACTCGCGACGAAGCGGTACCTCGGTAGCAGTGACAACTGTTACCAGGGTAGAGTTGCGGTGAAGGAACGGAGAACAATACCTTCCTCCTCCACTTAAAGAAATAACGTAGGGGGAAATTTACTATATAAATGCGAGCAGGATCGAGTCGACAATCCATTGATCCATTAATTCTTTAACAATCCATAAACTCACGACTCGACAAATAAGAGTTAAAACTAAAGCTGAGAATCGACTTGACTCGGACCTATATCCTAAATTGTTGATTCGAATTTCAAGAAGTTTGGACATTTGAGAATAAAGTAAGAGTTATATTAAGAGAGATAATAATTAAATCAATCCAAGATCTATCCTCTCACTTTCTCTGATCGCTGACAAAGAGTGTGGCGGACAGAATTCTCCATTCCTCTCTGATCGCTGACAAAGAGTGTGGCGGACAGAATTCTCAA